TAAATACACTGAAACACTAAAGAATTAGATGGAGGAGACCCATTCCTCACCACTCGGAGCAGCAGTTCTCCACCTGTGGGTCGAGACCCCTTTGGGAGTGGAACGACCCTTTCACAGGAGTCACCCGATTCATAACAGTAGCAAAATGACAGCAACAAAAATAACATTAGGGTTGGGGGGTCACCAGCACATGAGGCACTGTATGAAAGGGTCGCGGCGTTAGGAAGGTGGAGAACCGCTGCCTGAGAGCCTACCAGTGTCCACAGTGTGCGTCTTCTGCATTACGTACCTATTTACCTGTCCAGTATCGATACGCTATCATTTTAGTAGCTCCTTTTTTGTCATTAAAATCCGGAGAGATTGCAAAGGGAACAAACTCTGGAGGTTGCCAAGGAGTGGGGGTGGGAGGGAGGGAAGATAAAGCAATGGGCTGGACTCTATTGGGTGCTCACGGGTGCAATGGAAGAGCGTCTTCCAAAAGAAGGAGAAGAGAAATCAAGGAGCGGGGAAGGCTGAACTATCTGCGGAGCCGGGTGGGGCGTGAAGTCGGGGTAGGGTGGGGGGTGTCGATGAGTAGTTTAAATTGTTGAATACAGACTCCATCATCCAAAATGTTACTCCCCACCTAATAGACAATAAACAACAGAAAAACAGACCAGACAAAAGAACAGGCCTGAACAGCAGGGTTTAGTGTGCTCTGCCGCCTATGAGCCGTCACAGTGGGTTCTCTGTCGCAGGACTGAGGACGAGGAATGGGACAAGTACATCATGCCAGTCAAATCGGAGTCTGAGAGATACAAGGTGAGCCGGACCTTCAGCTTCCTCATGAACAGGATGACGGGTCCTCGGAATAAATCTAAGGTAAGAAGCTTTTTCCAGCTATTTTTTAATAAAACGGAGACAGCCCATTTTCTCAGCAGTTAGTATAGTTTCCCGCTTCCCGTTCATAAAACATACCTTAGCATTTCTACACGTGCAGTTGAAAATCGCTGTTTTATGGAACGTGTCCAAGTCATTCACTAGAGTAAGACAATTATATTTGGGGTAGTATTGCATTTTGATGTTTATTTTACTCTTTTTGCAATCTTTATATTTTAATAAGCCCTGGTGGCCCTGTGGACTAGGGATTGGGCTGCTCCCACCAGGTTTCGTGGTTCAAACCCAACAGCCACTCAACAGGAGAAAGAAGAGGCTGTTTCCACAAAGATTCACCACCTCAGAAAGCTGATCTGGGTTTACTGTGCATTGGAAGCAGCCAGATGGCAGGGGCTTTAGGTGTGGCGCTATGTTATGATAGTAAATGTAGAGCCTTTGCTTGGATGAGTTCTGTAATAAGTTTAGCTTATAGCAGTTCTTTTTCATTTTTCCCTCCACATTGCTACTACGGCTATTGCTATATTTGAAGACAAAAAGCAAGGATGCCAAAGACAAAGAAAAACTGAGTCGACATCAGTTTGTCCCTGGATCATTCTCTGGCCTTCTTCTACAGTGTTGGGTTTGTGATAAGCCATTCCTGGGGAAGGAGTCCTTCCAGTGTTCTAGTAAGTTCTCCATTCCAGTGTGCACTGTTTTTGAGAATAGGATCCGTTGCTAATGTGTGTGTGTGTGTGTGTGTGTGTTGTACATCTCCCCTAGCAATTCACCATCCCCGGACTGATAATGGCTAGAGGCAGTAGTATGTTATGTTCACAAGTGTTTTCTTTCCTGAAACTCAGACTTGCATACCTCATTGCCTGCTAGATAGATGTCTCCACTTGGATGTCTAGATGGCCCCTCCAGTACTGCAGGTGTCAAGCTGAGCCCCTGAGCTCTCCATCCTGTGTCCACCTAAAACCCCAGCTACTCAGCGAGCTCGAGCTCATCAGGCCAGCCAGATGCATCTGCAAATCTTGAAGTCTTTGTATTTCTCGTTCTCTTTCAGCCCACATTCAATCCTTCAGC